CCTCCAATACCCACTGACCCCACCATGACCCAATAAGCTAATCTTTACACTTGAGTGGGAACCTGCTCTCTACCCCATAGATAGGATTCCTCATATTTGATCAGGAAAGGTCTTGAAACTGGAAGCCACGAAGTGTCCCACCATGCAATCACCCCACCCTCTCCTATATTTGGAGGGTTCTTCCTGAACCATGATGTGAACATTTCTTCTCATTCTAACTAGGACAAATGTTGGAGGCAACTCTAACACCAGCTGTAACATTCAGCCCAGGTTTGACATTTGGAACAAAAAATTTTGGAACACTTAAAAGTCAGTTAACAAAAGGAGATTTACTTTTCCCTAGCATAGCAAGGATATGCAAAAAGGACACAGTGACTCTTAGATAATCTGGAGGCAGACTTTTCATCTCCATATGGAAACTCTAGTCATCAGGGCAGAATGTGGTAAAGGATATGGGATTTGAGGGCTCTTCAGAAATTCAGCAAGTGCCAGAGACTCTGACCTCCTGCAGCCAGCAAAGCTTTCCTGCTGGCAGATAAGATCTGAGACCCACAGCATTCCATTGTTCCTCAAGCCAAACCAAGGTCAGGAACTTGTAGAGATCAGATCAGGATGGCAGCAATCAGACTTTGCCCTAGATCAGACCACCCTGGGGACACTGAATGCTTGTAGACCTCCAGACTGTCCCTGAGTTCCTAGAATAACACAACACTCAATGCCCCAAGAAAGTAATAGCAGCAGAAGCCCAGACCTTCCCTCCAGATGTGTGCAAAGCCTATACTTATGCACCTGGAGTCAGAAAGTAGGCTGGGAGAATGAGCAAGCAAAAAAAAAAATTCCCACCATAAAGAGCAATTATGGTGGCAAGGTCACTCAAAATAAACACAGAAGAAAATTACTCTAAAATATCTACAAGCAAAGCCTCAGAGAAAAATAGAGCTTGGACTCAAATTCAACTAAAATTCCTAGAAGAGATGAAGCAAGATGAAGCAAGTTTAAAATGTTTTTTCTAAATGAAATGAGTATTATATAGGTTTTCTTGAAATGAAAAGTTATTGTTTTATATTGAATCCTCTCATGTTCTGCTGTGTATATGGCAATTTTTTTTCTTTTCTTATTTTGTATTTAAGGTTAAAATAAACTTAAAAACTTATAAAAAATAATTAAAATGAGAACAGAAGTCAAAAAGTGGAAAGGAAATGAGAGCTATGGAAGAAAGAATTAGCAAGGGAATCTACCAGTTTATCACAAGAGGGACAAAACCTTGTCAAAGCAACAAACTTGCTGAAAATTAGATTATATTAAATAGAAGCCAATGATTCTATGAAGCAACAAGAAATATCAAAACAAAGTCAAAAGATGAGAGAATAGAAGAAAATGTAAGCTATCTCATAGCAAAGACAACAAATGTAGAAAATAGATCAAGGAGAACAAATTTAAGAATAAGAAATCATTGGACTATCTGTATGCCATGACCAGAACAAAAGCCTGAACATAACATTTCAAAGAAAACTGCCCAGAGTGCAAAGTGGAAATTGAAAGAATCTACTAGTCACCTCCTGAAAGAAACCTCAAAATGAAAATTTTGGAACATTATAGCCAAAATCTAGAGCTTCCAGGTAAAAGAAAAAACAAGAAACAAAAGAAAAAACAAAACAAAACAAACACTACAAGCAGTCAAAAACGAAAGAATTCAAGTACCAAGGAGTCAGACAGACTCATACATGATTTAGTGGCTACCACTATAAATGAATGGACAACCTGGAACACGATGTTCCAGAAAGCAAAGGATATATAACTTACCCAGCAAAACTGAATATAATGCTACTGGAGGATGGGAGAGGGTGGAGGTGGAAGAATCTTTAATGAAATAAAAGATTTCCAAGTATTCCTGATGGAAAATCCACAGCTTGGTAGAAATTTCAAAGTTCAAACACAAGAGTTAAGAGAAAGCTAAAAAGGCAAACAAATAAACAATACTACAGGACTACACTAGTCCCTTGCTTCCTAATATGAGGAGATGATACGTGTGTCCCTTATGAGACCTGTCAGACGTCAGACAGAAGACATGGAAGTGGTTCTGTTATGTCTTGATGAACTTAAGAAAAGGATGTAAAGAAAGTGGCAGAAGAATACACCGAGGGCGACGTAAGGGAGAGAGAAAGGAAGGTTAGGGGAAATTATCTCACATAGAGACAGCTATACAAACAAGGAGGTGGGGATAGGGGGCAGCTGATGCTTCAATCTCACTCTTATATCACACTTAGAGTTGGGTACAAAAATGCATTTCACACAATAGAGAAATAGAAAAAAGAGAGGAAGGGTGAATTGGAGGGAGGATAGATTAATGGAGGGATTAGTATTAAGCAAAACAAACAAAAATATTTGTACAAAAATATTTGTAGCTCTTTTTAAGGTGATAAAGAATGGGAATCTGAAAGGTGCTTATAAACTGAGGAATGGATAAATATGTTCTGGTATATAAATGTGAAGGACTATTGTTGTGTGCAAGAAATAATGAAGAAAATGGTTTCAGAGAAACCTAGGGAGATTTGTATGTACTGAGGCAGAATGAAGTGAACAGAACCAGGAGAGCAATTAATACAATGACAATATGAAAGAATTAGTAACTTGGATCAGCATGATGACTAAATACTATTTCAGAAAACTAATGATGAAACACTATTCCTTTCCTGGTGACAGACTTAGATAAAAAGAATTTTTTTTTTTGGACAAGGTGAATGCAAAAATTTGTTTTCCCTGACTACACATGCTTATAACAGGGATTTTATTTTTCTTTGGCTCTTAAATTGGGGGGGAGGACAGATTAGATGAGGGGAGATAAGAAGATAGATTTTTGCTAAATGAAAAAAAATTTTTTAAATGCAAAGATAGGAGGACCATCAGTGTGGAATACTGTCAGACACAGTTGATGTAGTTTAATTTCTTGAACTGCTTTCTAACTCTCTCTTTTTTCTTTATTACAATGAATACAATACAAACTGGGGAAGACTCACTCAGAAATAAAAGTAATGTAAAGACAAAAGATAGTAATAAAAATTAAACAATTTTTGAAATCTAAAAAAAGCTGCTATTAATTCAATAATACTTTCAAATTAATTTGTATTTTAATAATCACAATAGCATCTCCAAATATTTGAAAAATAGTAACACTCACTTCCTTAATTTTCCACCCTTTCCCAACCTTAAGAAACTGAACTTTATGCCAAAATCTTAGAAGGTTTTTGGCAACCAAGAAATGCAATTAAAAATGATTAACAACAACACAAGATCCCAGATATACAGTAGGAATGGATCTTATAAGTCATCCAATCTTAGGATCATAAATCCTAAACTGGAAGAGATGTTAAAAGTCATCAAGTCAAAGTCCTTTTATTTTACAGATGAGAATAGTGAGGCCCAGAGAGGTTAAGTTATAACCTTCACTAAGGTCACAAAGGTAGTAAGCAGCAAATGCCCAAAGGCAGGATTTGTATGAGGATAATAAGTACCAGAATGAGGATTTGAACTTAGGTCATATGACTCCAAATTCAGTACCCTTTCCATTGTACCACTTTTATATAACCTTAGCAAAGTTCTTAACCTTTTTTGGGGTCATGGACCTCTTTGTCAGTCTGATGAAGCCTATGGACTCTTTCTCAGAATGATGCTTCAAAATAACTGACGGAATCAGAAAAACCTGGAAAGGCTTATATGAACTAATGCTGAGTGAAATGAGCAGAACCAGGAGAACACTGTACACATTAACAGCCACATTGTGTGATGACTGACTTTGATAGACTTAGCTCATCTCAGCAATGCAAGGATCTAAGACATCTCCAAAAGACTCAGGATGGAAAATGCTATCCACATCCAGAGAAAGAATTTTGGAGTCTGAATGCAGATGGAAAGCATGCTATTTGCTCTCCTTTTCTTTCATTGTTTTGTTTTGTTTCTTCTTTCTCATGGGTCCTCCCATTAGTTCTAATTCTTTTTTACACCATGACTAATATGAAAATATGTTTAATATGAATGTCACATGTTTATATATTTAACATGTCATATGTTTAATATGAATCTATATCAGATTGCATGCTGCCTTGGGGAGAGGGGAGAAGAAGGAGGGGGGGAAATTTAAAACTCAAAATCTTATGGAAGTGAATGCTGAAAACTAAAAATTAACTAATTAATTGTATTTTAAAAATAAAATAAATAAAATAAAAATAATTGAAGGAATAGCTTCATTTCAGGTAGAGGCTAGTAAAAATAAAAATGTATTTTTTCCCTATCCAAGTTTCATGAACCTCATCAAATGTATCCATGGACCCATTTGGAGGTCTGTAGAGCCCAAGTTAAGGACCCTTGCTTTAAGATTACAAAGTCATTCCATATACATTAGTTCATCTGATGACATTAGTTCATCTGATGCCGCGTTGTCTGACATCACTGATGACTGAGAAAGGACACGGTTCGGACATATCTAGGTAGATCTTCCAATTCTTTATTAAACCCACTTTAGTGTAGTGGACAGGACACTGGACTTGGGAGTCAGGAAGTCTTGGCTTCAAATCCTACCCTTGACATTTACTAATTAGTTGTGTGTCTCTGGGAAAATCAACTCACCTCTCAGTGCCTCAGTTTCCTCATCTGTAAAATGAGGGCCTTGAACTAGACGGTCTTTGACGGCCCTTCCAGATGGGCCTAGGCCCCCATAATATTGAAAGTCATTACAACCACCTGGCTTCTAAAGGTCATCGTGCCCGCACCCCAAGGCCTTCTTCCAGCTCTAAATCTGCGACGCTGCTGTCCCTTCCAACTCGAAATCCTCGGTCACATCCCCAGCCTTCCCCAAACCTCAGGCAACGTTCCAGAGACCTCGCCAGCCGTACAATGTGGCGGCGCCGTCAACAGTTTTCTTCCGTACACTATGGCTGCCGCCTTGATGCAAAGCCTGCCCCGCCCCCTTCCACCGGAAGTTTCCGTTTGAAATAACAGAGGCGCGTGCGACTGGCGGTTTCTGTGGAGTGTGAGTGATGATGGAGAAGGACCCGGCCTCGGCCGTGGAGCGTCTGGGGTGAGACACAGGCTGGATGGAGGCGGGGGCCCGGAGTCTGGGGGTGGGGGAGGCGGTGACGGTGGACGGCAGGCTGACCCCCAGGGAGGTCCTGGGGAGCCGGCCCGCTCCTCCTCCGCAGCCGGCCCGGACTCTGGGACCGGCAGCCGGCAGCGAGCCGAACGCCTCTTCCAACGCAGCCCCGTTCCCTCCAGGCTCCCGCCCGGCCCCGCTTGCAGAGCCAGCACCGCCAGGTCTGCGTTCGCCTGCCCAGCCCCCTCGGCGGCGCTGGGCGGAGGGCAGCCCGCGGGTGAGTAGTGGGGGCCGAGTGGGCTCTGCGCGCGTCCTTCTGCAAGCGTTCCCAAAGCGCCTGCTATGCCCGGGGGATGGAAACCAACGTCTCTACGGGCCGAACTGGGAGCGCTCTGTTCCAGGCCTTGTGAGAGACTTCGGATAATACCAAGGAAAAAAAGGAGCTGTCACGAGGTGGGGGGCAATACAGAGGTAAATAATAATACTAGCTAATATTTATATAGCACTCAATACGTGCCAGGGATTGCTAAGCTCTTTACAATTGTTACTTCATTTGATCCTCACAACAACCCTATTATTATCCCCATTTCACAAATGAGGAAACTGAGGCAAATAGCGGTGAAATGACTTGCCCCGGGTCACACAGCTATAAAGTGTCTGAGGTCAAATTTGAACTCGGGTCTTGCAAAATAAAATATATTAATTAACTAGAAGAATTAAGAAAGGTCTTTTAAAGGAACTGGCACATGGGTTTCTCTGTTCTCCCTTTATTACTATTTCACAAGGGGAATCTCATGAGCTGTCATGGATTCAGTTATCATCTTTATGTACATGTCTCTCAGATCTACTTATCTAGCCCTAATCTCTCTGCTGAGCTCCACTCTCACATCACCAACTGCCTGTTCTGGACACTTCCAACTGGTTGTTCTGTGGACAACTTGAACTCATGATCTTTTCCATCAAACCTTCCCCTCTTCCTAACTTCCCTGTTACTGTGTGGAGGGTACTCTACTCACCCAGGCTTACAACCTAACATCTCTTGCATATGCCCCTTTCTCAACTCTTACGCTACCACTAGCCTGGTGCAGGCCCTCCTCTCCTTACACCTGGATTATTGCCATAGCATACTGGCTGATCTCCCTGCCACAAGTTTCTCCCCATTCTAGTCCATCCACCACTCAGCTGTCAAAGTGCTCTTCCTAAATATAGGAAACATAATCATGTCACTGATTACTCAGGAAACTCCAGCGACTCCTTATCACCTCTAGGATCAAATATAAAATCCTCTTTGGCACGAAAAGCCCTTCATAACTTGTTCTCCTCCTTTTCCATCTTCCAGCTTGTGTCTGGAGAGCATAGACAGTTATTCTTTTTGTCTTCATACCCCTAGCCTTTTGCACAGTTCTTTTCAGAGGGCTGGAAAAAGAGCCAGTGTGGATACACTGAGAAACTACTGACTTGGACTTTTAAAATACATACGTTGAAGGTATCAGGATAAATCCAGAAGAGTGGCACCTCTCTACCTGTAGAAATATAGATGGGACAGAATGGAACTAATGTGGTTCATATGGAGTTGAAATTGAAGATAAGTAAGGCATTTGATTGTAAGAAAGCATCAGGCTGCCCTCAAGTCCCCAGGCCTGGACCACCACTACAGCCAGTATTTGAAAAAACTGGTGGAGGTGATTGCTAAACTGATATAAATAATCTCTGAAAAATTTTGGAGAATAGGAGGGATGCCATAGAATTGGAGGTAGCAATTGTCCTGATTTTGAAAAAGGGGAAGAAAGAAGAGCCTTCAAATTACAGGCTAGGGAGCTTGAAGAGACTGGCTGGAAGACCAATTAGGAGGCCATTGTTACAGTGCCAGCGAAAGATGGTGTGAGCTTCAATTAAGGTGATCATGTGACTAGAAAGGTTCAGATCCTACCTCTAACACCCAGACTTGTGTGAACTGATGATGTAAAGCAAAATGAGCAGAGCCAGGAGAATAATCTATGTGGTAACAGCAATATTGTGAAGGTAATCAACTTTGAAAGACTTAGTAATTTTGATTAACACAATAATCCACCACAGTTTCAAAGACTTACCACAAAAAGTGCTGTCTACCTCCAGAAAGATAATCGATTGACTCAGAGTGCAGATTGAAGCATATTTTTTCCTTCTTTCTTTTTCTTGGTTTTTTTTTAGAATAAGGTTGGTGTAGAAATTTGTTTTGCATAATTGTGTATTTGTAATGGGTTTTATTTTTCTTGCCTTCTCAATGGATTGGGGAAGAGGGAGTAGGTAGGGAGGAGAGAATTTGGAACTGAAAAGAATAAAAAAAAGTGTCTACTTTAAAAAGATTACATTTTTTAAAAGTTATATTAATAAAAATTTATTTTTTAAAAGGAATGAAATAAAGTGCCTAAGATATTAAATAGTTCCAGCAAGTTATGAGATATAGCTATTGTGTGTTTAGGGAGTGTAAGCCTGTATTCTCCCCTTTCCTATCTTCATTCCTTTCTTCATCTTATTCCTTTTGCATATATTAAACACCAAGTTACATTTATATCCTCTGTTTCTTCCAGTCTTGGAGTTCCTTAAATGAGTATTCACAGAGCCCATGTACTATTTCAAGTATTGTTACTTAGATATGGCCTTTTTACTCCAAGGAGATTAAAATTTAGTGATACAAAGCTGCTTTTCTTTTTTTTTTCTTTTTTTAGTTTTTAGGCAATTGGGGTTAAGTGACTTGCGCAGGGTCACACAGCTAGTAAGTATCAAGTGTTTGGTCTGGGGCTGGATTTGAACTCAGGTCCTCCTGACTTCAGGGCTGGTGCTCTATCCACTGCGACACCTAGCTGCCGCAAAGCTGCTTTTCATAGAATGAAGTTGACTAGATTAGGACGTGGCAATTTGGATTAAAACACTTACTGCGATGATTTGGGTTAGAATTGGGTCACGTTGACTGGGTTTTCACCCTCTTAATTTTCCTTTCACAGAGACACATTCTCGAGCTGCTTCTAAGAGTCAGATACCCCAGAGGTGCAAGGAGATAGAACTCTACAAGGCTCTCAGCTCAACAGGCCTAGAGAATGAATTGTACAAAACCACCAAGCAGAGGTCAGAACATAGACAGAAATAGACAATTGCACTCAAATGGATAATTTTATTAGAAATGACTCTAAATGACCTAAAACTGAAAAGAAGGTTTTCAGTAGGACGTGACAAATGAATTATTGTACACTGCTGTTGAGCAGTGTACAATTCCTTAGTCTGTCTCCCAACCCCCTTGGATGATCTATTCTGGAAAAAAACAAATTGAAGTCTATAACATAAGGTGTTTTGAAGCTTTCCTTTCCTCTCTCATCACGACCTTTTACATGTCCTTACCAAAAAGTAGTTATAGTGTACTATAAGTGGAACTGGAAACAAAACAATTAGTAAGCATGTTTGTTTGAATGGAGTCATAAGTTTGAAGTTAAACTCATCTTATCTTGGTGGGATGGGATTTTTTGGTTAGACCATTTCCCTTTATAGTAGGAAATCCAGAGTTCTGCTAACAAAGGCCTTCTAACAGTCTGAGCTGAAATAAATGATGCTTTACTTTAGTCCTGAGATTTGGAGATGGTGTTAGAAATAAGTTTAGAGGACCTCAGAGGAAGTCCCTTTAATGACACTGATGTAACTTGTAGTCCTCAATTTTCCCTTATAGACTATGAGGGTCTCTGTGCTTTTTTCCATTATATTCATAGTAAGGAAGAGTTAAAAGATTGCTAAGGGCCCTTGCATCTTTAACAGTCAATGATTCTCAATGCAAATGACACTCAGGTTGTTCACTGGTTTATTTCTGTATTGTTGACTCTCTAGGCAGGTGAAGACTATGGATCCTGCTGTTAAGAAGAACATTAAAAAAAGGTGAATCTCGGGGTGACTGAAACTGCTTTTCTTTTCAAATTTAGTGTCCTTTTATTCTAATGTTGCAAAGTACTGCTTAAGCAGTGCTGTCATCTCTACCAACTGGAAAGTGTTTTTAGCTTTTTTAAAAAAGAAAGTGCAATCCAGATTCAAATTATCATTGTAGCTACAGACCGTTAAATCAACAGAAAGCTGAGGAAGAGCTCAAAGAGAAGAACCAGCTGTTAGAGGCAGTTAACAGGCAGTTGCACCTGAAATTGACTGAAAGCCAGGTAAGAAGCCAGTCATGTGGAACAAAAATTATCTGGAATTCTAAGGGATGACCCTTCAAGTGGCCCAAAGACACAAAGTTAGAGCAAAGATGGAGAAGATCAGGCTTGTGCCACACCTACCCAAAAAGGAGAAATCATAGAGGCCAAGTCTGGTAGGCAGGACTAATATGAAACTGTGATCTCACAGGGAGAGGTGAAGGTGCTGACTCAAAAGGTGGAGTTGCTGGAGAAATCTCAGGATAGCTACTTGGCAGTTTTGGAGAGTGGCAATATTAACCCAGGTGAGAGGCCTATGTCTAAACCTTTCTATGAAAAGTTTCAGAGTTTCCTCATTAGCTCTAACTTTGAAAGAGTTAGACCCCACATTGTCATAATGCTTATAATTGGCCCTTTGACAGCTGTTCCTCAAGGTTCCAATAAAGTTATTGCTATCAAAAATCCAGAGAGAGAGAGAGAGAGAGAGAGAGAGTGTGTGTGTGTGTGTGTGTGTGTGTGTGTGTGTGTGTGTGTGTATGTGTGTTGGGGGGAAACAGAGAGAGAGGAAAAGAGGGAGGGAGGTTGGATTGATAGGGTTTTAGCAGCTTTGGCTTTGATCAGCTGCTTCCATTTAATAATGCATTAACATAAATAATAGTTAATATTTACATAGTGCTATAAGATTTGCAAAGTGTTTTGTAAATATTATTCCTATTTTATCATCACAATAACCGTGGGAGATAGATGCTATTATTATCTCCATTTTTCAGATGAGGAAATTGAGGTAGACAGGTCATATAGCTAGTAACCATCTGAGGCAGGATTTGAACTCAAATCTTTCCCGATTCCAGGTCCAGTACTCTATCCACTGCACCACCTCATTGCCTAGATAGCAAATACCTGTTGGTTATAGTGATAAGAAGGATATCTTTATTTCCTGCAAATTCTTAGTAGGATTGATTGCTTGTACTTGGTACTTAGCACATAGTATATACTTTTTGTGTGCCATGTAAATAGTAACTGTTCAAAAGATGTTTACTGACTTGCTATGTTTTGTCTTCTCAACTGAAACGTATTTTATACTTTTCGTCCCCCAAAGTATTTAACATAGTTTGTTGTACATAGTGGGTGCTCAATGTACTGGCAGTGGGTTGGGGTGAGGAGGAGGATAAAGGATCGAGAACTTCTGTATCAATCAGCTCACTGGGGACATGTTTATCAGTTACAGGCAGACAAATCCTGGAAAACCGGCAAGAAACAATGAAATGTCAAATGGAGTCTGTGGTGAGGGGCTGGGTTTGAATGGGTGGGAAGCAAGTAAAGAACATTTTCTATACTAAATATACTGATAATAGTCAAAATAGTTCAATGGAGTGGGCTTGTACTATGTTAAACTTGCTAAGTATAAATTGACCTTCGATTATCCATGTTAATGAAAGGGAACACTGGTGTCTAGTCCAAAAATAATTTCTCTTTAAAATCAGAAGGTGACTATTTACTGATTTCTTATCAGTGAATAAGTCTGAATCCCACGATCTAGTTTCTTCATTCAGGTCCCTTATTAAAGTTCTCCCTTCATGCTGGGGATGAGCTATATGATTCTAAGGACCAGCCTAATTAGTGTTGGGGTTCTCTCCTTGCTTCTTCCCTGAAGGAAGAAGGTAATTATTCAGCTTGGAAGCCCTTCCAAGTCTTACTTGGAGTAAAAACCCCCAATATACCTGTTTTACTAGAATAGATGAGTAATCAATTTCTGATACAATGATTGCCCTCCATCTTACCTTATTTTAGTTGCTCTTGGAAAGTCTGAAAGATGAACTGAAGCTCTTTAATCAGACAGCTACAAAGCAGATGGAGGAGTTACAGGTAAGTGTTGTCTTGAGGTTTTGAGCTCCCTATATTCCTCTTATCCCAATGCCATTCGTCTAAGGTTCTATCCCAATGACCAAGGGATGAGAGGTTGTATATGGCTCATTGTGTTGACCAAAGAGGATCTTTTGGCAATACATTTGAACCCTCTGCTTTAAAGCTTGAATATGAACATGCATTTGAACTTTTCAAGGAAGAGGTCTTATATTGAGAAGCCTAGGATTCTGATTTGTTCATGAGGTACCTTCTGCTATTACAGTAGATGCTACACTGAATTTACATTGTTTTGTGTTCTGTATAGTTTAGTTTTAAGAATTTAACCATCTAGATTACTGCCATACCAACTCTATAGAACACAGATGGTCAAACACAAAAAGACATTAAAAACATGTTCTGTAGATGGTAGAGTACACATTGTTTATGTAGAATACAGCAATGTATAATTTGCTAACTGCTACTTTGTGTCTTCCCTAGTAGAACAGAATAATTTATAAATTTATCGGCCATGTTTTCCAATGAATCAAGTGAAATTTTTTTTCTAATGGCTCCTTCTTTGTAGGCATTGAAAGTTAAGTTGAAGATGGAAGAAGAGGAAAGAGCTGGTTTTCTAGAAAAACGGGCAGCATTTAACAACAAAAGAGATGATTTCACAGCCACCCTTGAGCAAATGGAACAATTACTATCACTTTGAGAAGAAAGGGGGTTCATATCTTCAGCTAAGGTCAAACTATAAAAACATTTTCTTAAGTTTTCCTAGGAAAGGACTTCCTTGCTCCCCTAACTAAAATATCTTCAGAAACAAAGTTGGGATAATCCAGGTTTGTACTGAGGGGTGTTCCTGCCTTATAAG